TGCTACTTGTGAAGGTGCAGGTGCTTATGAAAACAATTAAATGGCTTGTGCATTTGGCCTAGAAAATAAGGTCATGGTGTCAGCAGGCCACAAAGCAGATTGGACGCCTGGGTGATTTCTCTAACGTGCTGAGTAAACTGTCGCATCATGATCATTATGTGTCATACAATCCAGTCTGAAGTCCGATAACTTCGCTGCTGCAGCGTCGGCAGTGACCTACAAATGAATCATTGAATTTCATCTTCTGTGGCTGATAAACCAGGTGATCTTTGCATGTGTGCGTTTGTATATATGTAAATAACCTACAACAGGCTCTATCCATTGTACTCGCATTTATGGGACTATTTTGGGTTGCCATATGTAAGGAAAATTTAACAGGTCACAGCTATTATTGTTATTGCTGTTTGGGGTTAACAGATGACTGAGGCTCAGTGTGTGATGGTTATTAATATTTTCAAATCAAATCATGTTATCTACAGAATGGAAATGGGACAGGAGTTTCTGAATCCAGGGCTTAATCCTCGGATTAAAGATGAGAGAAATGTTCATAAACTCACGTCTACACTCTGGGGGAAAACACAGTGAGAGAAGCCACAGCACCCAGACATCTCCCCTGTGCTGATGCATATACAGTAATAGCAACAATAGTGCTCGATTAAATATATTTATTGGCCTTGAGGTTGACATAGAAAAACCAAAACAAGGAGAAGGGCGTTATGTGAGTTGGGTGGCAAGAAAATGTATTATTTATTTCTAAAATATATTGTTTGTCCAGTATCAAGCCTTATTTGTACTTTATATATAAAACTGAATGTGGTAATTTAATGCCATAGTAATAATTCATATATGGAGGATTAAATCTGAACTACTAGGAATGGCTCACAGGTTATCATAGAGGCAGAGATAGAGATGCAGACAGAGAGAGAGAGCAAGAGAGAGAAAGATATCTAGAGATACAGACAGTGAAAGATAGAGAGAATGAGATACAGAGAGACTGACAGAAAAAGAGATGAAAATAAAAAGAGACACAGCGTGATAGAGATGCAGACAGAGAGGGAGAGACAGACAGATATTTAGAGAGAGAGAGATAGAGACAGAAAAAGAGATGCAGACAGAAAGAGAGAGAGAGACAGATACAGAGAGGGGTAGAGAGAGACAGAGACAGAGATAGAGATGAAAATAAGAAGAGACAGCGTGATAGAGAGATACAGACAGAGAGGGAGAGATACAGACAGATATCTAGAAAGAGACAGAGACAGAAACAGAGATAGAGACACCAAGACAGAGAGGGATGCAGACAGATAGCATCCCCATCTCACTATCTCTCTTTTTGCCTCTCTCTGTGTAGCAGATAGAGAAAGAAAGAGGGAGGGAAAGAGAAATAGAGCGAGAGTCTTTGAATAAGTGGAGACTGAACACGGTCACAACACATCAGGGCCGTTATGTGCTGTCCATGGTGCTGAAATGTAATTTCCAGCTTTCTGGTAAACGATTCAACAGCGCACAGACTTTAAACCAAAGCAATTGGCTGCTTTAGAGGACACACATTATATTTTCCTTATTATCTGCATTTTACTTCCTTTACCACGTGGCGTCAGTGTTGGTCCATCGGGGACAGCGCTACTCTCTGATACAACTAAGCCCCTCCTGTTTTCAGACGATAGGGACGTTTCCTCAGTCTTTGTTATAAAGAGGCAGAGAACGGTGGAAGAAATACTGGATTTTCCAACCACATAAACAGCTCACCTCAGCTGATATCTTCCATACAGCTTGACAATACCGGGCAGAACTATGCCTTCGCCTTGCAGATGGAGCTATTTGGGGATATATCTGGGTCTTTTTCTGCTGGATTGTTATTGGGAAACGGTGTCTGGGCAGCTCTCCTACTCCATCTCAGAGGAGCTAAACCCGGGGAGTCCAGTCGGAAATATTGCAAAGGACCTAAACCTTAATTCACAAGAGTTGGAATCCCGTATGTTTCAGATCGTTACTGGATCAAAAAGGAAATTTTTCGAGGTAAATCTAAAGACTGGTGTTCTGCATGTCAGTGAGAGAATAGACAGAGAGGAGCTCTGTGCAGAGGAACTCAAATGCTCAGTAAGTGTAGAAGCTGTGATTAATAACCCTTTAAAGCTGTATCGTATTGATGTAGACATTTTAGATGTAAATGACAACGCCCCATTGTTTACAACCAAATTACAGAATTTGTATATCGCAGAGAGCACGTTACCAGGAGTGAAATTCGCCTTATCTGAAGCAAGTGATGCAGATGTAGGGAGGAATGGAGTCAGTACTTACAAATTAAGCCAGAATGAGCATTTCTCGCTGGCTGTGCACAAAGCAGGTGATGGTGCGTCTGCTGAGTTAGTGCTGCAGAGAGCGTTAGACCGAGAGAAGCAGCCTGTCATCACTATGACGCTGACGGCTATTGATGGAGGGAATCCTGCGAAATCAGGCACCTCACAACTTGTTATTAATGTTTTAGATATTAATGATAACATTCCGATATTCAGCGAAACGTTGTATAAGACAAAAATCCCAGAAAACACACCCGTGGGCACAACAGTTATCGCAGTGAACGCCACGGACGCAGATGAGGGACTGAACAGTGAGATTATGTATTCGCTGAGAAGCAAAGATCAAGATCGCGTGCTCGATATATTTGAAATTGACAGTCAAACTGGTGTCATTAAGGTAAAAGGCAATATAGACTTTGAGGAGAGAAAGGCGTTTGAGATACGCGTGGAGGCAAGTGATAGAGGCCAGCCTCCCATGTCTGCTCACTGTAAGGTGCTGGTTGAAGTGGTGGACCTGAACGACAACGCTCCGGACATCACTGTGACGTCACTGCACAACACAGTGAGAGAGGATGCGAGTGTCGGCACCGCGGTTGCGCTGGTGTCAGTCCTCGATAGAGATGGTGGGAAAAACGGTGAGGTGAAAATCCAGATTAAAAACGAGGTGCCACTCAAACTCGAGACAAACTACAAGAACTATTATTCTCTGTTAGTTGCCGGACCCCTGGACAGAGAGGCGGTCTCTAGATACAACGTCACCATCGTGGCAACAGACTCCGGAGCCCCGCCTCTCTCCAGCACCAGTATAGTTTCTATACGAGTTTCTGATGTGAACGACAACGCGCCTCGGTTCCCACAGCCGCTCATTAACGTGTACGTGAATGAGAACAGTCCAGTGGGAGCAGTTATTAAAAAAGTGACTGCAACTGATGCTGACATTGACCAGAACAGTCAGGTGAGCTACTCGTTTTTACAAAGTAACAGTAACCCACTACCATTATCTACAATGGTGAACATCAACTCAGAGACAGGAGATATAATCAGTCTGCAGTCGTTTAACTTCGAGGAGTTAAAAACATTTCAGTTTAAAGTTCAGGCCACAGACTCTGGTGTTCCTCCGCTCAGCAGCAACGTGACTGTGAACGTTTTTATCCTGGATGAGAACGACAACAGTCCTGCGGTTCTTTCTCCATATTCTGAGCACGGCTCTGTTAACAGTGAGAGCATCCCCTATTCTGCTGAAGCGGGATACTTTGTGGCAAAGATCAGGGCTGTAGACGCAGACTCTGGATACAACGCGCTGCTTTCTTATCACCTCTCTGAGCCCAAAGGAAACAACCTCTTCCGGATCGGAACCAGCACCGGGGAAATCAGGACTAAGAGGAGAATGAGTGACAATGACCTGAAAACTCACCCCTTGGTGCTGCTGGTTTCTGATAACGGAGAACCCTCCCTGTCAGCTACTGTGTCTATAGATGTGGTGGTGGTTGAGAGCACAGCTGACATCCAGACTCAGTTCAGACATGTGCCCACAAAGGACGATGGCTTCTCTGATTTAAACCTGTATCTGCTGATCGGCATCGTGTCGGTGTCAGTCATCTTTCTGCTGAGCCTCATCAYTTTAATWGCTGTSAAATGCCACAGRACAGACARCAGTTTCAGCAGGTACAGCGCCCCAATGATCACCACCCACCCTGACGGGAGCTGGTCTTACTCTAAAGCTACTCAGCAGTATGACGTCTGCTTCAGCTCAGACACGCTCAAGAGTGACGTGGTGGTTTTCCCCGCGCAGTTTCCGCCTGCAGATGCGGAACTGATCAGTATAAACGGAGGAGACACTTATACCAGGACTCAGACTTTACCCACCAAAGAGAAGGTGAGTGAACAGTTAAAAAAGTGTTATCTTATGTTATTATTCTCGAGGGCTGGTGTTGAGAACATGCGGCTCCTCGTTTCCTTTGTTTTATATATTAAAAAAAAAAACGATGCTACGACTTATGGTTACATTTGTAAATGTGTTTTGTTTGTCATGTTGTAGTACATAGGCCGAAGCATAGTGAAGCCATAAACAGTGCGACCTTCAGTAACTATTTTGAGACCCTTACTGCAATATGTGTTTGTTTCGTTGTCCATGGTGCTGAACTCTCAGCAAAGTGTATGTGTGTAGTTTTTGCGCAAAACCCTTGTTGCGGGTGTTATCAAGCATATTCATCTGACTTTTGTTGCAGTTCTTTATATTTGCTAAAGCATGATGTGTACCAGATATATTCTCCCCAAATTAATTCCTCTTTAATTTGTGGATTTAAAGAACACTCCAGAGTTATTTCATTACTTCTCTATGACACGTTGTCTGTGAATACGTGGCCTAAATAAGGGAATTGTGTATTTTAACTTATAGTTAGTGCAGAAGAATGTAGGTTCTTTCTGTTTTGTGGTGAGTGTAGTTATTTCACATGACCACATGAGGACATTGCAGACCATGACATTTTTATTATCCTCTTTGTTGCTTGAGGCTCCTCCCAGATTCAGATGATGAAGACGAGGATGTTTCTCAGTGCTTTGTTACAAAGAGACGCAGTACAAGAGTAGACTGTGTAGCCATCGTTTGGTCCGTGTTTCATACAAAGAACGACATTGTTCTGAATTTACAAGCGGGATTTTGGAGGCTGGAATCCATATGCTCTTTTCACGTTGGATAAAAATATGTCGACGCGGAGGATACGCAACCCATTCGGAATTTATATAGCCGTTGTTCTCCTAGATTGTTGCTGGGAAGCGGTGTCCGGGCAGCTCTCTTACTCCGTGTCAGAGGAGGTTAACCCGGGGACTTCAGTGGGAAATCTCGCAAAAGATCTAAACCTTAATGTCCATGAATTGGAGGCGCGTATGTTTCAGATCGTCAGTGGATCAAAGAGAAAGTATTTTGACGTGAATCTAAAAACAGGTTTCCTTTACGTCAATGAGAGAATAGACCGCGAGGAGCTTTGTGCGAAGGCTACAAAATGCACCGTCAATGTAGAGGCCGTGATCAACAATCCGCTGAAGCTGTATCGTTTGGAGATAAATGTGCTCGATATAAATGACAACGCACCACGTTTCTCTGAGGATTTGCAGTCGCTTAACATTGCAGAAAGTACAGCGCCAGGAGGAAAATTTGGATTTATCGGGGCGTCCGATCTCGACGTTGGTAAGAACAGCGTGAGCACATATAAGCTGAGTGCAAATGATTATTTTTCTTTAGAGACTCTCAAAGGAGGAGACAGTGTGTCTGCTAAGCTTGTGCTTCAGAAAGCGTTAGACCGAGAGACACAGCCTACAATAAAACTCACAGTGACGGCAGTTGACGGAGGAAACCCACCCAAGTCAGGGACATCCTTGATCATTATAAATGTTTTAGACGCTAACGACAATGCTCCGACTTTCAGTAGTTCTTTATACAAAGCACGCATTTATGAGAATGTACCAATAGGTACAACTGTTATAGTTTTAAATGCATCAGACGCAGATGACGGCTTAAATGCTGAAATTGAATATTCATTTAGAAAGAAAGGTCAAGATCAGGTTTTAGATTTGTTCCAAATAGACTCAAAAACAGGTGCGATTTTAGTGAAAGGTGAAATCGACTATGAAGAAAACCCTGTATTTGAGATTCATGCACAGGCCAGTGACAAAGGCCAGCCCCCGATGTCTGCAGATTGTAAAGTGCTGGTAGAAGTGGTGGATCTCAATGACAACGCTCCTGAGATCACTGTGACGTCATTAATAGACACAGTGAAAGAGGACGCTGAAGTAGGTACTGCTATTGCACTTGTTTCTGTCCTGGATAAAGATGGTGGGAAAAACGGGGCAGTTAAAGCTGTRATTTCAAACAATGTCCCCTTTAAACTGGAAACCAATTATAAAAATTATTATTCTTTAGTTGTTAGTGATCCGATTGACAGAGAAACTCAGGCTCACTACAATGTTAC